TATGCGAACGTTGCTCCTTTTAACGTAATGCTGTTCATTCATGTTATGTGATGCAACAAAAACTTCCACACCTGCACATTATATACTGTAATGAGGGTTTTTCGGAAAATTTACTAGTTTAAAATGCTAGGGGTACAGTACCCTTAGTACGAACCCATATCGAATTCGTAACGTTTGCGAGTCCGAAATGTCATTGTCAAATGTGTAGTGATTTTTAGGTACGGATCAGTAGTATTTGAGGTAACCGCGGACAAACATAAAAACAAACATACAGGTCAAACTGAGAGTATCCTTTTTTTGAAGTCTGTTATAATAACAATGTTGCAAAGGGTTAAAGGAACAGTGACGTAAGTAATTTTGTTAAAATGTAGTCTGAAAGTAGATCACCTCGTGACTCATGTGACATGAGTCATTAGGTCACAGCCTCGAGTACCTGGTAAATGTAATTACTGACGAAAAGCTTTCAGCAACTTTTTAAAACATATATGAGTTCGACTCGATCTCATATTGAAGTCATTTTTCAAATTGACGACTCTGTATATAACACAGGGAGAAAAAAAACAGCCCTTGCTGAGTTTCTTGCCGGTTCTTGTCAGTACAAGGTCTCCCGCCGTAGATATGCGAACCGATGGCGTAGCTTTTCGACATTCACAAGTGCTTGTAACAGCCTAGACTGAATAAACGATATAGAATTTTGACTTCTAGACGGTAAAAAAGCCTAATTTCTTTGTTTTTTTTTGCATCAGAGTATCAGAGTGGCGTTATTGATTTTGTAGTAGAGTTTCACTTGATATTTGTTTTTTTTAAATACACACCAATTAGCCTAGCCCCAAAGTAAGCACTGTAGGCTTCTGTTATGGGATACTACGGTAACGGATAGGATATATATACTGATACCTATATAAGTATATTTATATAGAAATACATATTCAACATCCATGACTGGAGTACAAATGCTCGTATTCATCACACAAACATCTGCTTCCACCGGAATTCGAAACCGGGACCACTTGAGTAGGCGACACCTTTAAAATATGGAGTACAAACCACTCGGCCACGGAGGTCGTTAAGTAAATACTCGACTTTAATCGCCATGACTTTATGGATTGGAATGCTGCCAAATCTTTGCGAGACACAGAACAACATAGTTTGTTTCGAAAAAATAAGTATTATGAACGAAAGGCGATTATTATGAACAACGATTAAATCTAAAGAAAATATAACTAGAAAATATTCCACGCGGACCAGGCAGCAGATGGGACTCGAACCCGCACTCTTCGCAATCCGGGGGAATGCACTGACCAATTATGCTACCGCGGCCCTCACGGACTGCGGTAGCATATTTGGTAGCGTTAGATTTAAACATCAAGCAGTTACATGCTTTAAAATAATAAAAATTACAACGATTAAATTTAAATCACACTACAAGCAGCCTGAAATCAAGGCATGAATTAATGAAAAGGTCATAAAAAGTTATAACGTAGTGCTCATACTGATCCAGTCATAGATAAGGTAAAGTATTATAATATTATTCACTGTTTTCAGCCACACGCGGCACGACCTTGGAATGATCGATCACAGAACGTTATGTGTTCATCAAAAATACATTATAAATGAAACTGAAAGGCCATTTAAAGTTGTTGAAATTATAGGTGTACTATATGTTTACTAGCTTTTGCGCACGGCTTCGCTCACGTTAGATTTGAGTTTCAATTATTAAATAATTAAAAATACTCAGTAAATTAAAAAAAAAATGTGTGCGTGTACTAGTGTACACACGTAAGAAGTGAAACTTCTTTATGGCCTTATTTTTCGAAAAATGATCTACATGCAACTTTCCAGAAATTGGTTAAATAAAGTTAAATTAGATAAAGTTTAAACAAAAGGATTTTATTATCATAGACATGAATACAAATTACTGCCTATGAAACTGTTATGATTACACGGCTCAGTAATCTAAGGCACATGTTCCACCTCCGACGATGAACGATAAGCGAGTAGAAACTAGAAACGAATTGGCAGTCCTGAGTTAAAATGCACGCGCACGGCTTTTGACAGCCAAGCCAGCTTAACCGAGCGAGTATAGCTGAGCGAGTATCGCTGGGCGAGTATCGCTGTGCGAGTATCGCTGAGCGAGTACCGCTGAGCGAGTATCGCTGAACGAGTATCGCTATGCGAGTTTGGCTGAGCGAGTCTTATCTTTAATAACTATTGTCACTCAGCTACAAACGAGTAGAGAGAGTTCTCGCCGGCGACAGTGTGATCATTCAGCTATCAACTATTAATTTAAAAAAAGATGGCGCGTAACGGAAAAATGTGACGCGTAACCGAAAAATGTGACGGTAAATTTTTTTCCAACGCCGATAAAGAAGTTTCACTTCAAAAAAAACTACAAAATCGCTTATTTAGTTAAAAGATTAACCTCCTGATCTTGGTGGTCAATATAAACTTGAACCCCCGGATTACCCCTTTAGGGGAAGAGTTTTGATGCTTACGCCGTATGTCTACATCAAAATAGCTGTGTTTAAATGTGAAGAAAATATTACTAGGATAAATTGCACGCGGACCAGGCAGTAGACGGGACTCGAACCAGCACCCTTCGCTACGCCCATGTGGGAGCATCTCGGGATCGGCGCCCCTCTGTGTGCGCCATTTCACCAGGACGCCCCCGGGCCAGCCCGGCCCAACGAGTAGACCAGGCGACACGCCTCTGAGGGAATGCGCTAGGGTTCTAGGTACTAGGCAATCACCAGACGGGGTGTCCTATGCCGAATGGCACCTAGATCACGCGGTGGCCAAGCCGTGCCCACACCACCTTAAGGCCGACGAAGACGTGCAGTTACGGCTGCCTGCCTTCTTTGGCCCACCCGTCTACGTCTAGGCTAGAGCGTCCTCCTCCCGCTCCCTCTCCGCGGCCTCCTTCTGCGTCATCACCGATTCGCAGAATGAGGTGACAGCCTTCCAGGCCCTATTTGTGCATTGGTGCTCGCTACCAAGCATGGCTCTAACCATGCTTGGTAGCGAGCACCAATGTAACCAAGTATTGGAAGCCTAAATCGCGCTTACAAAATTTGGAGTCAACATCTCAACACAGCATCAGTAATTATACAATGCCCCCCGCCGAGCTAACGTCACCTCCGAGGCATCTCAGCAAGATCTTCCCCTTTGGTCTTCCTACATGTATGATGATACACACATCATAATCAGCCGATGGACGTCCAGTGCTGGACACATGCCTCCTCTAGGGATTTCCAAACAGAACGGTTGTGCGCTTTTGGCATTCAGTGGGCCCTCACGACTCGCTTGATGTCGTATGTCCTGGTAAGGGGCTTCATATATCATCATCATAGGCCTTTCAATTCAATTCAATTTGTTTATTGCATATCCACGATGTACAAAAAGATGTCAAATGTAAGTTATGACAAAATACGATCATTTGCCCGATAGGGTCCACCCCTGTCGAGCACACAATGAAATGAGATATAGAAGAGAGGAGTTACATTCAAATTTCTATGTTAATTTATAGATTGAAAGAGTTAGGTAGTGATTGTCACTATAGTTAATTTATTTATTATATAAGTGAAGATAAAATTCATTACATTTATATAAACAAATAATTAACAGGCGGGCCACTAGTAAAAAAAAATCCTTTAACGTCAAGTTAAACAATATTTATGTATGTATGTTTGTGTGTATAATTGTATATGTCATTTATGTGTATCATTTTGTAATGACTGTCGCTATTTACTTAAGATTGTCGTTCAAATAATTCTTGATTAATAACAGTTTTTTTTTTTATAAATAGAATGACATTAGTTTCGTTTCTTAATATCTCTGCTAAATGGTTTTATGATAATAGAAAAGTTAAAGGTACTTGTTAAGTTCAGCTTGAGGCGTAAAGTTGGCAGTACTAATTTGTTTTTACACCGCAAGAAATACTTCATATGTAAATTCTCTCATTTAGTATATAATTGGCTATTTTTCTTTATAAATTTGCATATCTCTAGTATGTATAAACAAAGCAGGGGAATTATCTTATACTTTTGAAAGGACGGTCTACAGCTTCCGGTATTATCTATATTCCTTCCCTCAGACGACCTCCGTGGCCGATTGGTTTGTATGCCGGGTTTCATGGTGTCGCCGACTCGAGAGGTACAAATCCCAGTGGGGGCAGATGTTTGTGTGATGAATACTTTACGTTTGTGGATGATTAATAATTAATATGTATTTATATAAAAATATACTTATACTAGCGGCCCGCCCTCGCTTCGCTTTGGTGTAGACTACAGTTTTTATTCTCAGGCTTGTATTATACACAATGACATTTATCTATGATTCTTCTTATACCTGCATGCAAAGTCTCAGCCCGATCGGTTTAAAATTGACAAAGTTTCATACAAACTTTCATTCCCTATTTTATCCGCTTGGGGGTAGAATTGATCAAAATCCTTTCTTAACAGTGGTTTGGGCTGTGCGTTGATAGATCACTATGTCAGTCAGTCACCTTTGAGTTTTATATTTATAGATATGTACAGTATATGTATTCTATCCGTTACCCTAGTATCCCATAACACAAGCCTTATAGTGCTTACTTTGGGGCTAGGCTAATTGGTGTGAGTGTTGGAAATATTCATTTATTTATATAGATAGAAATCTCTATATATAAAACTCAAAGGTGACTGACTGACATAGTGATCTATCAACGCACAGCCCAAACCACTGGACGGATCGGGCTGATATTTGGCATGCAGGTAGATGTTATGACGTAGGCATCCGTTAAGAAGAGGATTTTGTTTAATTCTACACCCAAGGGGATAAAATAAGGAATGAAAGATTGTATGAAACTTTGTCAATTTTAAACCGATCGGGCTGAGACTTTGCATGCAGGTATAAGAAGAATCATAGATGAATGTCATTGTGTATAATACAAGCCTGAGAGTTTCGTATATAAAAAAGAACTAGGGCCACTAGTTTCCTACATAAAAAAGAAGATTGCTGACCTGTATCCATAGACCCACTCCAGCTTGAGTTTGTTCTGTGGCGGGGGCGCCACCTTCGCTGGGTCCATCGCGTCGTGGTCGCTGGGCCCGTACAGCACCACGGGCCGACCGCGGAGGTACATCCGCATGGAACCATCCTCCTCGTTGTATTGACACGTGTGGGTGCTAAAGAAATATTGGAACAAAATAAGTAACCATTATTTTCTACAACATAAGCAGCGTAAGAAATACTCGAAGAGCCAGAGAATTCGAAAAGGGCATTTAGCCAGTGCATCCGCCCGGAAAGCGGAGGGTGAGGGTTCGAGTCCCGTCTACTGCCTGGAAAGCGTGGAATTTTTTCTAATAATATTTTCTTTAGATTTAAGTAACCATTAGTCAACCAAAAAAAAATGTAAAGGAAACGACAGTAGAATTACAACTATTCAGGTTAGGCTCTAAGTAAAGTAATCCGATAATTTATTAAATCCAAAATCTTTACCAATATTTGATAAAACTAAGCCTTAGATCGTATCACAGAAGCTGACACAACACAGCGTTAACTACTGAACGCTATTTTACGAATTTAATTAAGTTGTCCTTAAGCTATCCACGATCAATACATTTGTTTATTTTTATAGACACACAGGTACAAGGCGCAATATACAACCCCACCCCGTTTGTTTTTTTTATAGCTAGGTAGGCAAATGACTCTACCCCACCTGATGTTAAGTGGTGATAAAGTCCAAACGCGAAGATAGCTGATAAACTGCTACAACAACCATGCCAGCCTGCAATAATGTTTTTTCACGCCTCTCTTAAAGGATCCCAGATTGTAGGAAGGAGGGAACACGTGCGTGAGCAGAGTTCCACTTACGAATAGTACGACAAAGAAATGAGTTACCAAATTTCTTTGTTCGTGTAGGAATTGTGGCCACAGTAAGTCGGTGGCAGCGTAGGCCAGCGCGCGTGGTTCCCTGAAGGAAAGGTGATGAGGGATAAGGGAGAATAACTCCTCAGAACACTCGCCACTCATGTTAGTGTAAGTGGAGTCTAGTGAGGTTATGCGGAAGCAAAGTGTGTCGCTACAGGCAATCTCACTTTTGCTGGGTTAAAACTTTTTTTTTGAGTCTCGGAAATGCTTTATGCATCCTTCAACCACCGGGGGGGAGCGAGAAGGGATGTGGGACTTCTCCCTGCTCATTTCATCCAGCCCTACCTAGCTACGCCCTGAACAGGGCCACTAAAAACCAGACAATGCTCCTGCACAAGTCACCCGACAAGCATTCGGAGGACCTCAGTCCTCCCAATAGGGATGATGACTAATTTTTTTTTCTTCGATTATCAAAAAGTATTGGACACGTATTTTTTCCTTTTTCACTTAATATAAACATTGCAGAATATATTGATTTGAAAAGTCGCATGACGTCACGTTTGAGTACACTTATAAGTGAAAATTCACTCAAAAGTGACGTCACGAGCCCGTACTCCCAAACTTTGACGCGCTATAACTTTGTCATTTTTTGGTTGATTGCCCAAAGAAAAAATACGTGTCCATTATTATTTGATCATCTAACTGACGGACTTTATTATTTCGTTTACTGTACCCCGTCATCACCCCTATTGCTGGGCTGAACCTAATCCCATGGGGTTCTGGAATTTTCCAACACTTACAGAAGCACAACATCACCTAGACAGTGTTATTTTGCTGTAAGGTAAGGTGGATGTCACTTCCCCAGACGGGTAGTGAAATTCGAGCGGGAATAAAGTAGGATATTTCGTAAGATGATTTGATAAATAGAATTTTGCGAAAACTCGGATAATTTGGCAAAGTAACTGTTCTTTGTCGGCAAAGTAATCTACATTTTTTTGAAATTAGATTTATGAAATTACCCTCCGACATATAGGATCTTAACATACATGGGAATATGGTCTCCAAATAATATATTTTTTATTAGTGCAAATGAAGGCCAATGTGCACTTGGTTCAATTTTCAATCAACAAGTGATATTGGGAAATAAAAAATACATCTGAAAATCACGCTAAAATGCTTAAGTAAATATTTTTTATTATTCGTTTAGGTGAACGAATAATGTAAACATTCCAAAAACTTGTCATTCTTAACTTAGAAAATATCGAGTATTCAATGTCACGTTGTTATAGCGTTAACTTTCTTGATTAATAGATACTTATCATATTTATTTAATTTGTGAGTTTGTTATTTTTTTTAAATGTTAAATTGTTAACAGGTTAGTAAAGCCGTATTAAATGGGTACAGTCACAAATAAAGATAGAATTCAAACTATTAGATGAAGCATATATTTTTGTTAGTGGCAGCGGCATACCATACCATAAAATAGTAATATAAAATATAAAGTAACATAATAATAAAAATCTTTAAAAGAGGTGTTATTAAGCACACAAACTCCATTGCATTAAACTCCAAGCCACTTACATCGAGGTGAATGACATTTTGGCTCGCAAAATAATACCGCTCTTCTGCCCACAAGAATAAAATAAAATAACCACCCGCTCAGCAGTTAGGGTCCAAATGACCAAACAGTCGATTCAAAACAATCTAAAAACAAATATTATCCTTTATCATAAAACTATTACGCTAATGGTAGATGATAGGGAAACGATAAGCTAATTAAAAAAGTTGTACACACGATACCTGTTGTCATCCATAATGGCGCCAAACAAAGACAATTAAAATTCGAATACGGCTTAGAACACAACCTTGTTTTTTAATTGCCGAATAAGGCTAAGGTGCATGGAGCGCGAGGTCGCGAAGTTTAAAAAGGAGTTTTTAATCAGTTAATCGAATCACGCGGCCGGTTACCGAGAAAAACATCGGCAGACTGCCTGCGAACGAGAACGGAACGTGACGCGACAGCATGCGGTTAAAACTAATTCCAAGTATGCGTTATTCATTGACGGATTTTCTCCTAGATAGTTTCAAAGTTTTCCTTTAAACAAGCTATGGATTTTGGTGTGTGCAGACTAGTACGAGGTAAAAAGAGCCACGTGGTAGCGGTTACACACAGTGGCTGTGTTTGAGTCACATCTAATTTACGAAACAAACGTTGAAGATGACGTCTGTCTGCACCGACTCAACTGAGACTAATTGCACTTTTAGAAATGTTTGTACATTTTTGTAAAATTTAAATACTGATCTAAATTGAATTGTCGGTCCTATTGTATTCTACCACACTTAACGATATCCGAAATCGAAATTGTTGAAGTGAAACTTCTTTATCGGCGTTGTAAAAAAATTTACCGTCACATTTTTTTCGGTTACGCGTCACGTTTTTTGGTTACGCGCCATCTTTTTTTTAAAAGAGCACTATTTACCTCATCCGAACAATTGCTTCTTCTGTCAACTTTAAAAAAAAAAGTATCGACAGCAAATATTCGTGTTTCACACAAGGTAAGGTAAGGTAAGGTAAGGTCGGGTAAGGTAAGGTAAGGTAAGGTAAGGTAAGGTAAGGTAAGGTAAGGTAAGGTAAGGTAAGGTATTATTTATTTTGGTATCCGTTTGCTTTGTTATGAGCAAAACACTCGCTTTTGGACTACGAGCTGTTTTTCTCACTGTTTTATGTTGATAAAGTATATTTGTGTTTTTGTAAATTTTAATTGATGTTTTTGTTAAATTCTTTTAAGTTCAATATGATTTTTTGGATAAATTCTATATATGATTTGATTGTTGTTTCTTTTTTAATAATGTTATTTAATTCATAGGGGTTTAGGTTTTTATTGTTTGTATAAGTTGTATATTGAAAAGTTTGTATATATTCATTTCTGTATGTGCTATATTTTGGACAGTTTTGTATTAGATGTTCTAGTGTTTGTTGGGTTGTATCATCACAGGGACATTTGTCTGTTTCTTTTATTTTAAATCGATGTAGATACTGTAAATGGTACCCATGTCCTGTATATATTTGAGTAGTAATGAAGTTAGCAGGTATTTTTTCTATTATCATGTTTAATGTGCTTAAATCTGGGAATAGGTGTTTGGTGTGTTGTCCAGTGGTGCTTTGTAAATATAAGGTAAGGTAAGGTAAGGTAAGGTTAGGTAAGGTAAGGTAAGGTGTAGTTATACCCCTTTAGTGGGTGAGTTTTTGAAAAATCTTAGCGCACGCCTATATATATATTTCTGGAAAGTTGCATGTAGATCATTTTTCGAAAAAAATAAGGCCATAAAGAAGTTTCACTTCTTACCTGTGTACACTAGTACACGCACACATTTTTTTGTGTAATTTGAATAGTTTAATAATTCGTTCAGAATCACAAACTTTCTAACGTGTTTCCTATTTTTCTTACATCAGCGTAATTTTTCTTTCCCTTGTTATCTCAGCATTGTCTCCCTTCTTTATATCATCTTTTAAATACAATTTCTTTAATTCTCTTTATTTTGCCACCTTCATGTTCATAACTTTATTTCACCCACATAACAAAAGTCGCATTCTTTATTAAAATATGCATGCTGAAAAATTATGCTTTATTATTTTTTATGGCACTTTTAATGACAGGATATATATAATGTTCAGAAAAACTAGACCCATTGTCGTTCGGACCTTGAACACTTCAGGGTGGAGTCATGCGACTATTATCTAATCAGATATCAACACACGCGTAGGCATAATAGAGGAAGGATAATGTTTGTATGGGTATAAATAAGTACAAGTTGAATACTTTGTCTATTATTCAACTAGTTACTGGCCTCAACTCGTTCTGGGAGGTATTTAACTTCAATAAATCTTAAGGTCTTAGAGTGTCCTCAATATACAGAAAGAAAATCTACGTTATATAGCTTAAGTTAAGACGACCTCCGTGGCAGAGTCCCGGTGGGGGCAGATGTTTATGTGATGTATAGGAGCATTTTTACTCCAGTATTGGATGTTTAATATGTATTTCTATATAAATATACTTATTTATGTACAGTATATGTATTCTATCCGTTACCCTAGCATCCCATAACACAAGCCTTACTGTGCTTACTTTGGGGCTAGGCTAATTGGTGTGAGTGTTGGACAAATTACTATTTTTAGACCAAAAGAATTATGGCTATGAATTATCAATTTGAAGCAATTTGATCGATACTAAACCAAGGGCGGATCCAGCTTTGGCGCCAGGGGGGGGGGGTCATATAGTCGTGGTATATTAAATATTGAAAGGACTTAAATAAAATCCCCCTGGGTTTGGTCCATCTGTACCCAGCCCAGGGGGGGTCATTACCCCCATGACCCCCCCCCCCCCCGATCCACCCTTGTACTAATCTGTCGATCTGACAATTAAAGCGACATGGTTTGTTTTAACAACTGTTAATTTTTTTTGTTCGCGTCATATTCAACCACCTTTCCAGAATATGGTTTTATAGGACTCAGTTGACAACAAATAACCCTATAGTTTTACCATGTCAGTCTGCTGGAAGGGCTAAACGGTTTCAAGAAGTATAACTTTTTCACTTTTGGCCGCAGAATTCAACGCATCATTTTGTACATACGTGGTAAACATTTCTCCATTGCGTCCCTCCTGATTCGCACCCACTACTGGGGCACAGGCCTTCCCTATGGATGGAATATTTATATTTCCCCGATATTTTGCCATTATTACAAGTGCGAGACGAGTGAATCGCAACATACAAGATACCTAAATGGTAGGTAGTAATGCCACTAATTACGCTAATTACTTACTGTATTACATACATACACACTTACGAATTATGACACATGTACAGAACATAGAAATCCACATAAACTGACGCACATGTTAATTATAATTATGCTATTCCGAGAAAATAAAAACTCTCGTTTTTAAGTCGGTTTACAAATTACAGAATCATCACCAGCGTATTAATATCCCCACTGCTGGGGCACAGGCCTTCCCTATGGATGGAATAGGGAGATTGGGCCATGACCCACCACGCGGGCCCAGTGCGGAATGGCGGGTGCTAACGACTGCAGATGCAACCGAGACCAACAGCTTAACGTGCCTTCCGAAGCACGGAGGAACTCGAGAAAGAATATTTTCGATCACCCATCCAATGACCGACCACTGCGAAAGTTGTTTAACTTCAACGATCGCAAACGAAAGCGCTAACCACCTGCGCCGTCGAGCTCCTTATCTACCTATAGTTCTGGGGTATACGAATCTGGTATTTTGATGAATGTTCATCTATCATCTTTAATCTAATTTCATGGATGTCAAAGCATTATAAAGCAGTTGAAAAGGAAAGTTTTGATATAGTCGTAAATCACCGAAAAAAAAAGTTCTTCATCAAAAAAACTCTATTGGTCACGTTCTTTTCGCGGTATTCTGTGAAACCGTACAATATTCCCGAAGCAGGTAAACATAATAAAGAATGAAAAAATGACTTACTATACAAATCCAGCGTTAACAATACCTACGGTTCATTTTATAGGGGAAAAATATTTTTCGCGTTCCAATCGATAACTAATTAACAAATAAACTCGTATCGTACACAAAACCACACCGTATTTCGTACAGGATATTATATATATATGGAAATTCATTTTTAATAATTGGATCATCATCATCATCAGTCTATTAATGTCCCAACTGCTGGGGCACAGGCCTTCCCTATGGATGGAATAGGGAGATTGGGCCATGACCCACGCGGGCCCAGTGCGGATTGGTGGGTGCTAACGACTGCAGATGCAGCCGGGACCAACGGCTTAACGTGCCTTCCGAAGCACGGAGGAGCTCTAAATAGTAATTTTTGGTCACCCATCCAATGACCGACCACTGCGAAAGTTGCTTAAGTTCAACGATCGCAGCCGCACGCGCTAACTGCTTGCGCCATCGAGCTCCTCAATAATTGGATAATTAAAATTAATTATTTTTATAAAAGTGCACCATTGACTTCTGAATATGGAATAGCATTTATTTATTTAATATAACTACAGGGACTTTTTGGCGGGATCGGGAAGCGTCACTTTAGCAGTTTTGTTTTTCTTGTTAAAAATTGTGTTGTGGCGGATGTTAGTGTCTAATAATGGTGGATTATTAATCACCAAGTGTTCGGGAACATGCACAAGTATTGGCAAGTGAAACAAAATTGCGGAAAGTGTCTTTCGACCTTAGATTAAAACAAAAAGGGTAGATACGGCACTAGCCCCACAAAAGTGATCCGCATGAATTGTGGTCCACGGCCCTAATCGCTTTAGTCACGACTTGACATGCAAACTTATATTAAAACAAAAAAGGTAGATACGGCACTAGCCTCACAAAAGTGATCCGCACCAATTGTGGTCCTCGACCCTAATCGCTTTAGTCACAACTTGACATGCAAACGACGTACATGTGAACGCCAAAAAGAAATATTGCATATATTTTGTGTTTATATGATAAAACAATGCCTAAGTGTGTTTTTAAAAAGTGCTCAAATTGCTCAAGAACTAAAAATAAAACCCACGGCATCACTGTTCATTCGTAAGTACTAAGTAAAAAATATTTTTTTCATAAAAATTGCTGTTTGTTTTGAATCTTATTCGGTTATGACGTCGAGTACTGGTCGCGTGATTGGTCGGTAGTGCAGTGACGCGGATCTCGCCGTCTCGTTCCTGCTGCCGTTGAAACTTAACGTGCTGTTCCGTTCGGGTCGGTAATGCAGTGACGCGGATCTCGCCGTCCCGTTCGCGCTGCCGTGGGATCAGTTTTTGTTTGATGCAAGTATGAGCGTACCGTATCTACCCTTTTTTGTTTTAATCTAAGCTTTCGACATTCCCTCAAGAACTTCACAGGGAGGTTTCAGTAAATCCCCACACATTTATTGAAACATAGGTAATAGACTTGACTGCCACTTACTTTGACTTGATTTATTACTTTGACCACGAGTACTATATAGAATTTGTAAACATTTTAACACTAAACATTGGCTAAATGCACAAGCCGTGCAAAGCCATGTAGAAAAAAACGTAAGTACATGGACTCAACCCAACCTTATTATTATGCTTATTTAACTTATGTGTGAAAAGGCTTCCAATGCTTTCATTTGTTCAAAAGTATCTAATTAACTTCACCTAAATTATAATAATCTAATGCCTCGTATTCATTAGGCAACATTTTATGTTAAACTTATTATGAAGTTCATCACCTTGTTTATAAACAAGATTACCGTAAACACAGTTTCAGACTCACAATTTTTGAGGAGCTCGATGGCACGGGTGGTTAGAGCGTTCGTCTGCGATGTATTAAGCAACTTTCGCACTGGTTGGTCATTGGATGGGTGACCAAAAATCTTCTATCTCGAGTTCCTCCATGCTTCGGAAGGCACTTTAAGCCGTTGGTCCCGGCTGCTTCTGCAGTCGTTAGCACCCTCCAATCCGCACTGGGCCTGTGTGGTGGGTCATAGCCTAATCTCCCTATTACATCCATAGGCAAGGCCTGTGTCCCAGCAATGGGGACATTAATAGGCTGATGATGAAGATGATGTTCTTTCTTATCACGAAAAATTGTGAGCGCATCTTTGTTTCAACATCCTTTTGCGACATATTGAGTTCTGCAGCAATTTCGGCCCAAGCATATATATTTTTTATTTTATCCTTTTAATCCTTATTTGAGGCATCCCAAAGCAGTTCATGTAAACGAAATAACTCTTTGACATCGAAAGTTGGTCATTGGACCACACTACTTCCATGATTAAATCACAGACGTCCACACATGTCAACTTTTGTTTTTTAACTAAATGATTCGTCTTGCTCTCCATTATTACATTTGTAATGGAAAGTGACTTCATGGGTTATCTCATATTGAACTCATTTTTCAAATTGACGACTCTGTATATAATACAGGGAGAAAAAAACAGCCCTTGCTGAGTTTCTTGCCGGTTCTTCTCAGTACAAGGTCTCCCGCCGTAGAGATTTGCGAACCGATGGCGTAGCTTTTCGATATTCACAAGTGCTTGTTTTTTTTTAAATTTTGAATTCAGAGAGTGGAGAACACGGCAACATGTATCGGAAACAACGTGTCATCATCACCTTTGTTTATAAACTTTTTCTAAATTGTATACAGTAAGTACCCTTAGCACCAGATTTCGTAATTGTAAATTATGTTTCTATGTCCATTTTGGTGAAAAGTAACCAAACGATTTAATGATAGAATTTAAACACCGTTTATTTGTATTGAAAGGAAAACAATAAAATCAGTACCCTTAGTACGAGTGTTAGCTCACGAAAACTATCATAGTTTTCGTAATTGTAAAACTCTTACTAAGGGTACAGAGGTGATGCAACATTGAGAAACACTGTTTATGAACAAATTTTGCCTAATGAATACACAGCTTTTATTACACCTAGCTCTCCTTGATTTTTCACTCTTCGTCCCACTGATTCCTTAATTAGTAATTAGTGTAACTAGATGCATAATGTCCAGTAAGTATTTAACCCAGGGCTTGTTTACCGGTTAATTTTCAAACCAAAATCAGTGTCAAGTACATCAGAAGATTTTTATTTAGGTTTGGCTCTACCTTAACCTTAAAAAACCGGTTTTCCTAAAAAGCGAAATCAAATAGGTTTTGAATCAATTTAGCGGTTTTTAAAGGGTTTCATTTCGCTCTTACTGACGGCATCGATAATAAATGAGTAAATTGATTCACTAAACGCTAGCAAACGTGTCAATAAATGCATCAATGTCTGAGCATTAACAAGTTGTGACTTGATTAGTTCAAACAAAACAAACTTCAAGCGATGCCGACGCGTGCACGTGTCGCTCTGGTTTAAACCGGTTTATTAAGGTTTTAGGTACCGCTTTCATTTCGGACGCGCTCCGAACGAAACCTTTACTAAAAACCGGTATTAATCTTTATTTACCGGTATTTTCGAAACACAGTCAATTTAAAAAAAAAGGATTAAAAACCTATATAAAAAAAAACTGGCAAAGCACCCCTTATTCCTTTCGCTGAAAAGAAAAAAGCTTTAAAGCTAGAGTTGATGCGAAGAAAAACACAAGAGAGAATGTGAGAAATCCCAAAACCGGTGAAATGAAACCAAACTGCCAACCGAAAGCTGACACCGTCACCCAAAAGATTGACTTACCCGTGCTTCAATATAGGCCCATTTTGTGACGGCTTAGAATACAAATTTAGCAACGACTTTGTGGTTGTAAATCTAAAGGAGGTAAAAGAAAAACGTAACATTAGAATCTAAACTAATAAACAAGGTTTGGACGATAGAGAAAACGAACAGGTAATACACAATACGATTGTACATAGCTGCATTTAGTGTAGCGTTGCAATATTTACTAGCAATGACATAGATATATTTTAATATTTGGTAGAATATAATGTTCGTACCCTTAGCACGAACCATTATCGAATTCGAATAGTTTGCGAGTGCGAAATGTCATTGTCATATTTTGTATGGAAACCTGAACAGCAGCGGCACAAAGTACGTAACGAGAACTAAAAATCAGTACACATTTGACAATGACATTTCGGACACGCAAACGATACGAATTCGATATTGGTTCGTGCTAAGGGTACTGCTCTCTGTAAATAACGTAGATAACGATTTCGCTATATTCCCCATTATTCTACCTGTATCTTAAGATGTATAATAAGTTTGAAATTTTTGCTGCATCAGATACATCAATTTACTGTAAGTAGCATGCAGGTTGGAACGTAGTCTTGACCAATGATAGGTTGGCTCAGTGCTTCGGAAAATTTAAGACCGACAATAGGGGTGATGACGGGGTACAGTAAACGAAATTCTATTCAGTCCGTCAGTTAGATGATCAAAAAATAATGGACACGTATTTTTTCTTTGGGCAATCAACCAAAAAATGACAAAGTTATAGCGCGTCAAAGTTTGGGAGTAGGGGCTCGTGACGTCACTTTTGAGTGAATTTTCACTTATAAGTGTACTCAAACGTGACGTCATGCGACTTTTCAAATCAATATCTCTGCAATGTTTATATTATGTAAAAAAAGAAAAAATACTTATCCAATACTTTTTGATAATCTACCTGATAAACGAAGAAAAAAAATTAGTCATCATCCCTATTCTGCACGTCAGCACCAGTTGACAGCACCCTCCGATTGACTCCCAGCTGACGTCTTGTCTTTTCGTAAGCATTCAAAAAGTTCCACGGACATTTTAGATTTAAAACCTTTTTTTTAGTCGGACAAAATCTCTTTTTACAGATGTTCGCACCCTTAAGGGGCACTCCAACGAACGCACCTATCCTCTCGCAAGTCTCACGGGTACAAAACGGAGAAGCTGTTAAGCAGTCCGTGCGGCTTACAAGCACTTACGGCATACTACCCGCGAAAAACCCTGCGAATACCCTCTAGCACCTGGGTTCCGAACCTGGGAGTAATTACCCCTCCGGGGGTAAAACAGCCATACTTCGGGGGTAACAAAGAACCTAATTATTTGATCAAATCTAAATAATAAGAAAATACTACATAATAATACTACTAAATAGAGCATGCGCTCCTTCTTGCTAGCGAGCCCGCGGGGTGCTGAGTGTGGGAAGCGGGGCGAGATTGTTCCTGATGATCACATTATTAGAGACGATGATGTAGCGGCCAAATTGGAATTTCTTGGACTGATGATAACATTTTAAAGTCGGGGTAAAATCTGTTTTCCTAATAGGTTACAGGGGTAGCAGTATTGGTAAGGTTAGGAAACACTGCTCTAGCAGGTGGGCAGCAGTAAATACTTGCGCCAAAGACTCCTCTCCAACCTGCATGTTGCTTATAGCCTCTGCGGGCTTATTTTATTAACCGAGCAGAGAATTTGAGCTCTTAAAGTCTACTCGTATTTGACTGTAGGATACATACGCTTGACTCTGTCAGTAAAATAAGTATTGGCGAAGCTCACAGACCTGGATGTGGCTATGAGTCCGTGTGCGTTGAAGTCCCCCGTGGAGTTCCACCGCTTGGTGAGGTGGCCTGGAGACGCGCTCTGGTTGCTGGACGTAGAGTTGTTGCGGGACCTGGACAAATAGCACCAACTACAGGGGGAAGTAGCGACTACGAATTCTGGCAGTATAAACGTGGGGGTACTAGAAAGCATTGTTCAAGCAGAAAAATTAAGAAGCCCTCATTGTAGGTACCTAATGAGGGTTTTCTGGAATGACGGGCTCCAGGTGGCAGCACTGAGATTAAAATTCTATTCATCCGTCTACTCGCGTATCATCATCGTCAGCCTCTTAACGTCCCCACTGCTGGGGCACAGGCCTTCCCCATGGATAGAATAGGGAGATTGGGCCATGACCCACCACGCGGGCCCAGTGCGGATTGGTGGGTGCGTATGTCTTCATTTAATTGCTCGTTTGATAAGTTCGTTTTGATAAGCGCCGAGAACTTCATAAAAAAGACCTCACGTCACAGTGGCGCCAAATGGTGACGTAAATGTTTCATAAACACCCTGACGTACGATCATAGTTTACGATACACACAAAGTCATAGATAATTATAATACTATGCTAGATCCAATAGTCCAGAATGTTTATTCTCGTCTTGTGTATAAGCACATAGCTGAAGATTATAAACGACAATAGGATAAACATAAAAAAAAAACAGTAACACACTGGTAATTACTGGTATTATGTGATTCAACTAAGAGTAGGACCGACTGGGCGCCATTCATTAAAATATTTGCATGAAGTTTTAACTTTTTATAAAAACATTATTTTTAATGATCCTCGAACTAGTGGCGTGTCTTAAAATGATCTATATTTTTATTAATCATTAAAAATAACTGTTTTTATAAAAAGTTAAACCTTCATGCAAATATTTTAAGAAAATTAGAAAATACTCCTTATATGATGTAATTCAACGCCCTTCTTATTTATATTTTTGTAACACCCTGTATGAAGCGACATACCTTTCTAACTATGCTCAAGACTAGATCAATCATTAAGAATCTTTCGGGTTTTAGAGGGTGGCCTCCACACCTCCTTGGACTCATCGAAATGATTTCCGTTGGATGTATCCATTGAGGCGTCGTCGAACGCGGATTCCAAATAGCCTCTTTACTCGTCAGGCGGCGAGATACGGGTCATACATTTTTTCCACGGTATAAAAAAGGGAAACATTTAAAAAACTAAACAAAATAATAAATGATCATCTAAATAATACAATTGGTAAGTTAAAGATTAAGGCCCGTATTATAGGAAGATTCTCAGTGACTGATCTAGTCTTGAGCATAGTTAGAAAGAGATGTCGCTATATATAGCACATTGCGATATCCCTTTTTAACTGTACTCAAGTAAAGTTCAACACTTAGTTGTCATTCTGTAATACGGGCCTAAGTTGCCGATGCCGAAGAAATCCCTGGTAAATTTCACTTGCTACTAACTTCACAGCCGCTGTACTGCCGTCCTATTAAGAATTCAGTAAGAGCTAAAACTTAAAAACGTTTCTATGTGTACGCGACTGGCGCCAGTGCTCATGCAAACTCTGTCTCGCTTTGTCTCTTCTTAACCCGTTTTAAATAGCTCTGTACCTGTATGACTGAGCTCAATAGCGCAGTTTCTAAGCATTGGCCGGTCACTGGATGGGTGACTAAACACTTATCATATCCCGCTCCTGCGTGTTTCAGATGGCACGTTAAGCCGTCGGTCCCAGATGCATCTGCAGTCATTAGCATCTAACAATGCAGGCGTGGTATGGCATGGCCCATTCTATATTGTAAATATTTCATCCACAGGAAAGTTGTGTGCCTCAGTGAGGACATTAATTCTGATGATGATACCTGTACAGTTGTATAGGGTATAGGAGCGAGGGCGCGGACAACAGCGAGTGCTGATGATACCTGCACAGTTGTATAGGGTATAGGAGCGAGGGCGCGGACGACAGCGAGTGCTGATGATACCTGCACAGTTGTATAGGGTATAGGAGCGAGGGCGCGGACGACAGCGAGTGCTGATGATACCTGCACAGTTGTATAGGGTATAGGAGCGAGGGCGCGGACGACAGCGAGTGCTGATGATACCTGCACAGTTGTATAGGGTATAGGAGCGAGGGCGCGGACGACAGCGAGTGCTGATGATACCTGCACAGTTGTATAGGGTATAGGAGCGAGGGCGCGGACGACAGCGAGTGCTGATGATACCTGCACAGTTGTATAGGGTATAGGAGCGAGGGCGCGGACGACAGCGAGTGCTGATGATACCTGCACAGTTGTATAGGGTATAGGAGCGAGGGCGCGGACGACAGCGAGTGCTGATGATACCTGCACAGTTGTATAGGGTATAGGAGCGAGGGCGCGGACGACAGCGAGTGCTGATGATACCTGCACAGTTGTATAGGGTATAGGAGCGAGGGCGCGGACGACAGCGAGTGCTGATGATACCTGCACAGTTGTATAGGGTATAGGAGCGAGGGCGCGGACGACAGCGAGTGCTGATGATACCTGCACAGTTGTATAGGGTATAGGAGCGAGGGCGCGGACGACAGCGAGTGCTGATGATACCTGCACAGTTGTATAGGGTATAGGAGCGAGGGCGCGGACGACAGCGAGTGCTGATGATACCTGCACAGTTGTATAGGGTATAGGAGCGAGGGCGCGGACGACAGCGAGTGCTGATGATACCTGCACAGTTGTATAGGGTATAGGAGCGAGGGCGCGGACGACAGCGAGTGCTGATGATACCTGTACAGTTGTATAGGGTATAGGAGCGAGTACCTGTACAGTTGTATAGGGGCGAGGGCGCGGGCGACAGCGAGTGCTGATGATACCTGCAGAGTTGTATAGGGTATAGGACCGAGGGCGCGGACGACAGCGAGTGCTGATGATACCTGTACAGTTGTATAGGGTATAGGAGCGAGTACCTGTACAGTTGTATAGGGGCGAGGGCGCGGGCGACAGCGAGTGCTGATGATACCTACACAGTTGTATAGGGCCGACGGCGCGGGCGACAGCGAGTGCTGATGATACCTGTACAGTTGTATAGGGGCGAGGGCGCGGGCGACAGCGAGTGCTGATGATACCTGTACAGTTGTATAGGGGCGAGGGCGCGGGCGACAGCGAGTGCTGATGATACCTGTACAGTTGTATAGGGGCGAGGGCGCGGGCGACAGCGAGTTCTGATGATACCTGTACAGTTGTATAGGGGCGAGGGCGCGGGCGACAGCGAGTGCTGATGATACCTGTACAGTTGTATAGGGGCGAGGGCGCGGGCGGCAGCGAGTGCTGATGATACCTACACAGTTGTATAGGGGCGAGGGCGCGGGCGACAGCGAGTGCTGATGATTCCTTTACAGTTGTATAGGGGCGAGGGCGCGGGCGACAGCGAGTGCTGATGATTCCTTTACAGTTGTATAGGGGCGAGGGCGCGGGCGACAGCGAGTGCTGATGATAACTGTACAGTTGTATAGGGGCGAGGGCGCGGGCGACAGCGAGTGCTGATGATACCTGTACAGTTGTATAGGGGCGAGGGCGTGGGCGACAGCGAGGGCAAGTAATGGTGATACCTGTACGGTTGAGGCGGGGCGGGCGGCGCGGGCGTGGCGCGGGGCGAGGGCGAGGGCGCGGGCGACAGCGACGACGACGACGCCGGCGAGTCCGACTGCAGCGAGCCCGTCGACTGGTGCTGAGGGCCGCGTCTAAACAACAAACATATAACCAAACATTATTAAAGTTAATATAAATATACATGCATAAAACGTTCGTGCAAACAGTTAATCAAACATATTTTCCCATGGAGAAGTGTGTTATTTTGCATCTTTATGGAAAGTGCCACACGTGCGTTGCGTTAGCGCTGCGTCATTGCAACGTAATGATTTCAACGCAGTGAATTCGACACGAACACTGCGTCGGCGCTGCGTCTGCGCCTTCGAAATGCTATTAAATAAATATGATAGATACTGCGCCGCCGCTCCGTCGTTTTAACGCATCTTGTGGATATCGCTACGTCGACGCAACGGTAACAAAACGCACGGACAACGCCCGTGTGACAACCCCCAAAAAGTTAAGTTGCGGAACGCATTTCTCTGGATAAAAAAAGGTAAGGTAACGTCTGTGTATACTTTTTTCACAAATACAAGCCTGCAAAAGGGTACGATTTTTCAATCTGGAGACGTGATGGAGGAGTTGCCCTCCCCAAGACTCTTCTACAGCTAAAGACTTACACTGCACATGGTAACAGGTGCTATTACCGGGCATGCCCATTTTAACAGAAATATTTTTAACTTAGGTGTCACGGACAGCCCCCTATGCAGAGGATGCATGGAGGCAGAAGAAACAGCTACTCACGTTCTGCTGGAATGCAACGGAGTGCCTGAATACCGGGCCAAATACCTCGACTCACCGGGACACCTCCAAGAGGCAACCACCAATGTGTGCCCTGTCGGCGTTCCTGACAAAGCTCGCTGTGTGGCACGGGTAAACGTTGCCATCTCCAAGACTCTTCTACAGCTAAACAGAGTTACACTGTACATGGTAACAGGTGCTATTACCGGACATGCCCATTTTAACAGAAATATTTTTAACTTAGGTGTCACGGACAGCCCCCTATGCAGAGGATGCATGGAGGCAGAAGAAACAGCTACTCACGTTCTGCTGGAATGCAACGGAGTGGCTGAATACCGGGCCAAATACCTCGACTCACCGGGACACCTCCAAGAGGCAACCACTAATGTGTGCCCTGTCGGCGTTCCTGACGGAGCTGGGCTGGCTCAAGTAACTCCGGTAACACATCCTCCATAAGGACGTCGAGTTGCGGAAACGCCCGTTGCAAGATAAAGAAGAAGAAGGGTACGATGATGGTACACCCTACCTCTGTGGTTAGTTAGTTCTTCAGGGCGGTTTCCGCACTTAGTCCTAACTATTGGACCATTGTGCGTGTCTCAAAAACATTCCCGTTTACTCCAGCCAGCCTATATCGGTCCAGAAGGGAAGCAGCCTTGGTAGACTGCTGCAAGCTTCCGGAAACGATTCTGGTGACTGGAGAAGTCATGCCCGTTGGTCGGCCACACTCCTGCATTCCATGATGACATGCTGTGGCGTTTCTTCTGCCTCCATGCATCCTCTGCATAGGGGGCTGTCTGTAACTCCCATTGTATATAGGTGTTTGTTTAGGGGACAATGACCAGTCAGGGATCCTATAATCCTGCGAAGTTTGTCCCTATTTAGTCTGGTAAGGGTGCGGGCAAAACTTTTATTTGCCGCCGGAACCGCGTTTTTCGTATGCCGGCATCCTTCACCTATTTTCCACTCCGTCAAGTGTGATTTCTGAGTTAATTCACGCAGCCACGTTTTAATTTGGGTCTGAGGTATGGACAGCAAACCTACCTCTGTGGTAAGGATGAGGCTGTGGAGCCGTAGCTGGAGGTGCGCTTGGCTGTCTCCCGGTACGCGGGCTGCCTCAGGCGCAGCTCTCTGGTGGGAGTCCCGGATGACCCTGGAATAAAAACACACGACTTCAAACATCTAGGTTTCAAAAAAGCTCTTTTTTATAATTATAGGGTGATGGTAAGCTGCAACAGCCTATAGATGCTTCATCATCATCAACAGCCCATCTTAGTCCACTGCTGGACATAGGCCTCTCCAAATGCACGCCACTCAGATCGATCTTGGGCTACTCGCATCCAGCCCCTGCCAGCCACCTTGCGCAAATCGTCATTCCATCGCGCCTGAGGACGTCCTACACTATGTTTGCCTAGACGCGGTCTCCACTCCAGAACTCTACCCCAACGGTAGTCGGATATAGATGCTTTCGATAACAAAAATATCATGCGCGCCGTTGCCTGCCCTGACCAAATCCCAATGAAATCCTGATGGAACCCTACTAATTAATCCATGGCGTAGGGAGTTTAGTAGGGTTCCAGGATTATAACCCTGGACACCACTGGACACACACTGACAGAAATACAACACCACCTTATATTTTATTGAGATCTTCCGTTAAGGGGCCCATGTACGGAACGATTGATCTGTACGATCCGTCGTTTCAGACCGATCGAAACGATGGATCGACAGTGTATATCAAGATCGTTAACGATTTACTTAATCGCAGACGATATCGGAGATCGCAACAAAAACTCATGCAATCATGAATATCGTAAACGATCGATCGTCAGTGTCCCATATACGGTACGATTGATCTGTACCGATTGTCTGTATTGATCTTAACGATTTCCTTCAGATCGATCGCAACGACGAATCGTTTACGATCAATCATTTCATGTATGTAGTGGCATTTCTGAACGATCGATCGTTGACGATTTCCTTCAGATCGATCGCAACGACGAATCGTTCCGTATATGGGGCCCTTTACCTCTCTTGACATTATTATAGTACGATTCAAATTTTATGGAGCTATATTGTCTTAGTTTTATAAATTGAAATCTCAAATTCAATAAGATTTTTTTTTAATTTAACTTACGATTGTTTCAGAGATTAAGTATAGGACTGTTTTATCACTGGCGACACTTCTGAAATGTCAAAATTCCGTCGAATTGAAAATCTGTCTTTATTTTATTGGACATCCAACAATCGAATTAATCAGCGCAAGTTTAAGTCAAGTTATGAGCATTTGCTCACACATAACTGTGTCGCGCCTGCCTCGCCCACAAGGCCCTTCTAACCTCGTTCTGTGTTCCGTGGAATGTACTGTAGGAACATGTAGGAACCTATTACGTTATGAAAATATTACACGTAAAAGCTAACAAACTCCAAAAAACGCTATTTTCTATATATATAAAACTCAAAGGTGACTAACTGACATAGTGATCTATCAACGCACAGCCCAAACCGCTGGACAGATCGGGCTGAAATTTGGCATGCAGGTAGATGATGTAGGCATCCGCTAAAAGAGGATTTTGATCAATTCTACCCCCAAGGGGATAAAATAGGGAATGAAAGTTTCTATCGGGCTGAGACTTTGCATGCAGGTATAAGAAGAATCATAGATGAATGTCATTGTGTATAATACAGGCCTGATAACAAAAACTGTAGTCTACACTTCAGCTCTACACCGAAGCGAAGCGAGGGCAGGCCGCTAGTTCACAATAAATTGCTAGAAAGCAAAATAAATGGAATATCTAAGCGACATTAATAAGATTAGTATCCTCTACAGACAGTGTTATTAATTTATAAAACTAAAATATTTATCATTAAACAACTTTCTTTTATTACAATTTACAACTAGTCGACTTTCGAAGATGACTAACCATTTAATCGAATTTACGGTGAAATTACTAAATTACTGATGTCCTTACATCGATTCACCAAGGAAATTAATAAGCTGAATTCTAAGAACTGCCCTAGCACATGGTCGAACCATTTGCTAGATGCTTCGTTCGAATTAGTGTGGCCATCTGATAAAAGAGAACAGAAAACTATGGCTATCAATATTTTTGCAGCGAAAAGGTTGGTCGAGCTTCGCATAGCTTTGCTGTGGGCTCGGCAGGGCGACCTTCTAATGCGTTAAATGAGGTGTTGATCACAGGTGTGTAAGTTTTCCAGGTAATCTTTATCTCATTGGCGGATTGGCCAGTCCCACAGTACAGTGACATGTATTTACCGGCCCTACCGATACACATGTCAGGGACCTCGGTCCTTGGGATGTGTGTCGGGTGAAAGGTGCTGAAGTATTGTCTGGTTTTCACTGGGTAGGGCCTACTCATTAACCTGTTTATATAAATAAATAACAAATAAATAAATAAATATTTCCAACACTCACACCAATTAGCCTAGCCCCAAAGTAGGCACTATAAGGCTTGTGTTATGGGATGCTAGGGTAACGGATAGAATACATATACTGTATTATAATATAAGTACATAATATAGAAATAGATATTAAATATCCATGACTGGAGTACAAATGTTCGTATTCATCACACAAACATCTGCCCCCACCGGGATTCGAACCCAGGAACTCTCGAGTCGGCGACACCATGAAACCCGGCGTACAAACCACTCGGCAACGGAGGTCGTCCTGTGTTAGTCCCATTCCCAAGTCCTGCGAGCTTGGCAGGGTCTGCATCTTCCCCTTCTCAGGGAATGATCGCTTCAGACGAAGTGGGTATCCCACGGATGTGTTTTAGTCAGTAAGAGCTTTACAGCCGGCTGTAGGGTATCCATGAGGACTTCACATCCCCGGGAGGAAACAGAAAAATAAGCTCGGCAGGTCGACCTTTCCGCATTGGAAGGTTTCAGGTGTGTAAGATTGTCAGGTCATCTTTATCAATGATTACCTGTGTAAGTCCCATTCCTAGGTCCTGCAGGTGCGGCGGGGCGGCCTTCCAACGCGTTGAGTCTTCGCAGAGCATCTGCTAGAGTGGAGCGAAGACACAGCAGCTCCTCGGCCTGCCGAGCGCATCGCACCTCCAGGTCAGCCACGCGTGCTGCCAGCCCCGCCCCCTCGCCTTCTAGCATTTCATCTGGAAGTTAAATAAACAAAGACTTTAATACGTAGGTAATAAGAAAGGACAGGCCTTTTTTTTGATGCTTCACTTTAGGAGTTTTGTTTTTCTTGTTAAAAATTGTGTTGTGGCGGATGTTAGTGTCTAATAATGGTGGATTATTAACCACAAGTGCTGGCAAGTGAAACAAAACAGCGGAAAGTGTCTTTCGACGTTCCCTCAAGAAGTCCACGGGGAGGTTCCAGTAAATCCCCACACATTTACTGAAACATAGGGAAAGGGGGATTGACTCGACTGCCACTTACTTTGACTTGATTTATTACTGACCACGAGTGCTATAGATTTTTTTTTTTAATTTTTTTTTTTATTTGTTTTTTTTTTGTAATTTCTGTAGGAGAGCGTGGATTGGTGGTAGATAGCATCACATATTACATCCACTATCTTTGTTACGGATGACCTCTAGCAGGCAGCAATGGCGAAACATAGTGAAGCGCATCACATCTGCCCCCTCCAATAATACTACAAGTTCATAGCGATCACGACCGCTCTATCAAGAGCGTACCGGCTAAGAAGAAGAAGATCTTTGTTACTTAACTACCCTTATCATCATTGTTAAAAAATCAATAAACTTCATATCATACTTCAATATTTCAACTATATAGATGCACTGATTTATTTATTTATTGACGTTTCGCATCATTTTCAGGCTGCGTAATCTAATATATAAAATTCTCGTGTCGCGGTGTTTGTGGTTAAACTCCTCCGAAACGGCTTTCCCGATTCTCATGAAATTTTGTGTGCATATTGGGTAGGTCTGAGAATCGGACAACATCTATTTTTCATCCCCCTAAATGTTAAGGGTAATCAACACCTAAATATTTTTTTGCAATTTTAGATATATATATATATATATTTTTGTATGATGTATCATAAAAAAATTAAAAAAAACTAAATTTTCATTCTTCTATCACCAACCCCTATTTTTTATGGGTACGAAGTTTGCTGGGTCAGCTAGTAATAATAAATTATAATAATAATTCTGACGAGGCAGCCTGAAAAGGATGCGAAACGTCAATACATAAATAAATCTGTGCATCTAAACCGTTGAAACTTGTTTTATTTAATGAGTGGTGTGCGTGAAAACCTAAGAAACAAATATTTATATGTAGTTAATTTTCAAATAGCCACACCTTCATTCACTAGTATAAAGCAAATCAAATTTCAACTGTTATGAGGTATAGCTGATAAACTGGCAAATGTGAAACAGGTTTCGGAAGACATCGGGGTCAAGATTACTATGTCATGAGGCATCATGACCACATTACCATAATTTATTATACCATGTCTGTGCTGGTGTCTCATATATGGCCATTCAGTTTCCGACAAGTCACGAAATGTTGTGTAAGAGAGAAAGCTGATATTTTTTTAAGAAACATCCAGAAATAGCTCTCATGGTCCCATTGAAATCATAGAATAAGCGGCCATCTCTATTGGGGAGGATTGGAAACATGAGTAGAGTCTGTGCGGAAAGAGAATGGGATTTAGATTGGAGGGCGCTGTAGTGCTTTTTTGTTTTGATACGGATTTGTTTGTTGTTGTGATTTCTTGCGGGTTTTTTGTATTTAATCATGTCTAAAAGGGGTAAAACCTTATAAATACGGTATATTTATAAGGTTTTATGCTATAAATACGGTATATTTATAAGGTTTTACCCCTTTTAGACATGATTAAATACAAAAAACCCGCAAGAAATCACAACAACAAACAAATCCGTATCAAAACAAAACTTTGACGTTTTACAGATTGCTGGGTTTGATTGCCAAATAAAAATCTTAATGTTAGTTCCGTTTTTCGCCACGCCCATTCTCTTTCCGCATAGACTAGTTAGTTTATTTCGTTTATATAATGCTGATAATTTAATTATTCTTATACTAAATCATCTTTGATATAGTTCAGTCAGCCTGTAAAATGACACGGCACAAATCTATATCACGATGATTCGACTATTTGAAGTTGCAAGTTATACAAATCTTAGGGTCCAACTTTGGAGAAAATAAAGGAAATTATCAAAATCATATTCATTTATATGCTATCTATATAAAGAAGTTAGAGAATGCAAATTTTGAAGAAATGTAATACTAAAAAAAGGTTTGAAATTTTGAGTCCGCAGAAACAAAAAAATGAAATAGGTACCTACAAAGCAACGAAGTGTCGCTAATGAGTTTGTAACGATTTATATTCAATATACAACGTTGTTGTACAATATTTATGTGAGACACCTTATATGTCAAATGGCTAAAAGTTTAGTTCGAGACCAATGCCATAACGTTTATCAATTAGTCACTGGTAAAGCCACAAATGGGACACTTTAACCCGTTTTGGAAGCAACCTTTAAAGGCAATAACACATGTAATGCTATCTCTAATTGTGTCCAACAGCAGACGACCGCGGCTGTGTGTGTGGCGTAACATAATGTCAAAAGGTACATTATTGTGAACAACAGGGTTGGATTTAGGTATGTTGAAAAAGATAGCACAAAAAAATGAAAAGGATAGTATTTATAAAATAAATATAGTAGAACACTTTCATTATTTTTGAAGTGAAACTTCTTTATCGCCGTTGGAAAAAAATTTACCGTCACATTTTTCGGTTACACGTCACATTTTTCCGTTACGCGCCATCTTTTTTTATATTAATAGTTGATAGCTGAATGATCACACTGTCGCCGGCGAGAACTCTCTCTACTCGTTTGTAGCTGAGTGACAATAGTTATTAAAGATAAGACTCGCTCAGCCAAACTCGCATAGCGATACTCGCTCAGCGATACTCGCCCAGCGATACTCGCTCAGCTATACTCGCTCGGTTAAGCTGGCTTGGCTGTCAAAAGCCGTGCGCGTGCATTTTAACTCAGGACTGCCAATTCGTTTCTAGTTTCTACTCGCTTATCGTTCATCGTCGGAGGTGGAACATGTGCCTTAGATTACTGAGCCGTGTAATCATAACAGTTTCATAGACAGTAATTTGTATTTAACTTTATTTAACCAATTTCTGGAAAGTTGCATGTCATGTCATCATTTTTCGAAAAATAAGGCCATAAAGAAGTTTCACTTCTTACGTGTGTACACTAGTACACGCACACATTTTTTTTATTTAACATATACTAGTAAATAAATTCAACACCCGTTAGGGAAAAATTTGCTCCTCTTATAAGTTCAGTAGTAATAAAATCAGTACAATTTCCACTTTTGCTACCGCTTTGGATGCCACTTACCATAAATTAAAACACTGAAAACGTATTATTTTACACAATAACTCGTAAGCGATTGTTAAAACATTGAGCAAACTTTGATTAAGTATCGAATGGAATGGCAGGGACGAGATTAGTGGAAAGAGAGGTGTACTGCAGAGGATAATCGGGGAATCCTCGGCCATCACCACAGTAAACATCGCAAGATCAGAATTCGTTTGGATACACGCACGGTCGAAATATTCGTAATATGACGTAAAACTGCATTCGGGAGCAAACTTTAAATTATAGTATTTAAGCGTACTATCCTGAGATGTGGATAGTATATAGTACAAAGGGCGAAATCATAGTATAAATACTACATACTTATAGTACAAAATCCAACCCTGGTGAACAAGTACACAACAGAATTGGGCTGCGTTTGCGAATTCTAAACCGTACTTGGCACGAATGTTGACACACCATTGTTGGAAACAATGCACGCTGAGTGCGCATACGCAAAAAAATAGCACAACCCAATTTGAACTCTAATCTTATTCCAATAAGATGTAAGCGACAGCCAACACGTTGGTGATTTACGCTTTAATTGCTTAACATTATTTTAGATGAGCGCTCGCGTTCTTTGAAACCGTGTTTGTTCAAATGTGTAAATGATTGTATGTGCTTAGTACTCGTATAGTATACGTCATACAGTTGCGACAGAATTACATAATCGTGAATGTGTACGTATGTCATTGTGATACTGTTTTTCTACGGCCAACACATTATTTCTAGAGGGAATCATTGAATAACTACACCAATAATTTATCCGTAGAAACTGACAGCTAATAGTTATTTATTATACAAGAGTGGAAAGTTCCTTTTTAACCGCGTGCTCGATTTGGATGACCGAGCAAGCGAAGGATTCTAAAGTTGAATCACGAGCGCAGCGAGTGATTCTAAATTAGAATCCTGAGCGTCAGCGAGGGAAACAAACGAGCACAAGGTGAAAAATCTTTCCACTCGAGTGCAATACGTAACTTTTCATCCCACCTCAGCGAGGAAATGACAAAATGAAAAAGAAAACAATTTATAATGACAAAATATTTTTATTTCAATTAAAACACATTAAGATAATCTATAAATTGAAGAAAATAATAAGAAGTAGAAAATAATTAAGAAATATTAAATGTAACGTTGCTACAGTTACTTATGTTAAGTTTAATATTTTTGTTAGGTAATGTTATGTTGGTGTTTGTGAATTGTGCGCTGTTTTGTGGTAAACTACTCGTATCAGTAATTTTAAATAGTTGTGCCGATTCATTGGATTCTATTGGCGTAAATGTTGGCGAGAGAGGGCTATTGTTTCCAATCTTATGGGGGCTCATTTTAGATGTAGAAGGGCGAGACCAAGAATCTGACAGAGGTTCTTTCAGCGTTATGGCCTCCACGATACTATTACAAATTTTTGATTTACTTTGGATTGAATCCTCTATGTATCCCTCTACAACCGAATTAGACTTCCAGCCTCCATGGCGCTTAAGCGATAGAAGATCAGCCCCTGATTCGGCCAAAAGTGTGGCTAAGGTTCTTCTAAAACAGTGACCGGTGTATAACGGGGGTTCTAAAAGTCCGAGAAAAGTTGCTATTTCTCGTGGAATACTGCCAATTTTATTCTGACCCATAGGTTGTCGGATACACTTTCCGTTGCGATATTGTAGAAAAAATCGTTCAATTGGGGTGTTAGAAGGACGTAAAGCTTGATATTTCTGAACAATGTTTACATATTCCT